TTTTTTTTTTTTTTTTTTTTTTTTTTTTTTTGCCTATCCTCTATCATTTCAGACAAATTGTGCTACTATAGAATTTTGGTGGACATAATTTAGTTTTCAAGTCCCAAATAACCCTGTTAGGGGTAGAAAATGAATGTTTTCATGTGAAGAAATAAAATGGGAGACAGGGGGGTGCCCAGCACTGACAGTTTAAATGCTGCTTTTTCTAACTTAGTATTGTTTCAATTGTAGGGTAATTGAACCCAATTGTCTAAAGAGTGTTTATTTGTGAGCAACATGTGAATTTATTTAATGACGGTGCACGGTTTGTAGCAGGAGTGTCTGGATTTTTCTTACAATGTTGATTCACCTCAAACCACACTGTTTTCCAGGTCGGCTCTGCTGGGTTTTAACAAAGATCCCCAAGCTAATCACAGATAGGAATCAATTATACCATACAACTGTTTGTGTTGATGGTGCTATTATCAAGGAATGAGCATGGAAAATTGCTTCATAGCAACACACTTTTCTGTAGTCAAGGAGATGCTGTTGCATACTTTGAGAAGGAGATGTTGAGACGGAGATGTCCCAAGGGTGTAGAGAGGGTGCTTTGAGAGAAGCAACTGACATCCCTTTTAATCAAATCTGCAGCAGTTTCAGTCACAAAAGACTGAAGTTGGAAAAAGCTATTTTTGATAGTAAAGGCGTTCAAACTTGGATAGTGGAGATGTTACAGACACAGATGGATCACTCAGAGTCGCGAGGCACAAATACGTAGGTTCCAGGTAGATAGAGTCAATTCAAGAATTTTACTTCAGAGAGGTACAAAACGTTTCCAAGAGGGGTCTGAAGAAAAGGAGAGCCTGAAGGGCAAAGTTTCTCCTTCTCTTAACCATGTGTACTCTGGGGTAAAGCAAGGCGGTAGGGTTGATAGCAACCCAAGACAGAGAAAGTTTGCCTTGGGCCTTCTCTAATCACTATGGCTTTATAATCATAGTCTTGTTGCCTCCTCTGAGGCAAACCCACCTACAGTTTATTTCCCTTGTTTCCCTTCCAGGGTCCGGGACTCCACTCCTTCCTGGAATGGCAGTGTCTTCCCTTCCTTTGGCCCCTGCAATCCTTTGCTCTTGGCTGTGCTTCCACAGACCTCTCTTCAGAGCACTGTCCTCCAAGCATTCTGGTCTCCAGATTCTCTAAGTAGGTGCCTAGCTTCCAGTGGAGAAGCTCCTGCTCCACCTCTGCTGTGGGATGTTCTGTAGGTCCTGTGGGAGCCCATTCTCAGGTTCTTTGTGGCGTTACCCAGCAGGTCCGTATAGAGGATGATTAGGACCATGGGCCTGAGTGCAGGTGTTTGAGATGGTCTGCACTTGGCTGTGCTGGGGGATGGTCTGTATGCTCTGATTGGTTAATAAATAAAACCTGATCGGCCGTGGCTAGGCAGGAAAGATAGGCGGGACTAACAGAGAGGAGAAATAAAAGGATAGACAGGCAGAAGGAGACACTGCAGCCGCCGCAATGACCAGAGAGGCTGCAGCCGCCGCCATGACCAGCAGCATGTGAAGACACTGATAAGCCACCAGTCACGTGGCGAGGTATAGATTTGTAGAAATGGATTACTTTAAGATAAAAGGAAATGGTTAATTTAAGATAAAAGAACAGTTAGCTAGAAGCCTGCCACGGCCATACAGTTTGAAAGCAAAATAAGTCTCTGTGTTTACTTGGTTGGGTCTGAGCGGCTGTGGGACTGGCGGGTGGCAGAGATTTGTCCTGACTGTGGGAAAGGCAGAAATACTCGAGTGACACACCTCCTTGGTGCTGATGAAACCAATCTCTATTTCTGAAATTCATTGATTTTCTCAAACTTATTGTCATTATTTTTTTGGAACAGTGAGACAAAGCAAACACAGGGCATCTATAGGCTATAAAAGGCCTATATTGATAGAAAGTTTTAGCATTTTGATAGCTGCCATTGCATTTTTTAAAGTGAAAATTTTCCCTTGAATACAATGAAATTGTTCAGAGTTTCTTAATGATCTATGTGGCTGTCGTTATATCAGTTGAGACATACAAACATCACAAGCCATTACCAGAATGGGGTAAGTTTCAAATTTTAAAGCAAATCTGTGCTTTGTTTAAGTCATCTTAATATTTTATAAGTTGCTTATAACACTGTTAGTTCAGCTAAGGAGTAGCTAACTCTAAACCAAAATATAGATTGTTAAATGTGTACATTCACTTCTAAACAACATCATTGAACAGGCTACATTGGTCTTTTGTAGTTTAGAAATTTTCTTGTTGATAAGAATTTTTAAATGAAGAAATACATTTGCTGTTTTTCAAATCTTTGACAGGTGATGCAACCCATCCATATTGTTTCTTCATTATAATGTTTATCTAAAAATTGGGTCCCAATCTAGGTACCAATAAATAAAATATGTGCGCGTGGGGGAGGGGAAGGAGGCAAGTAGTCCTGTTGGTCTTTTTTAAGTGAAATTCAATGCTATAGCATCACATTTCCTGCATGGATGGGATGCATGCTGTGTTGACGTCACCTTAAGCATCTCAATGCTGTGTTGAAGCCAGGATGCAGCTCAGCATCCTGTCTGCTGCTGGCTTTCTGAATCAGATGCTGGCTGCAGGTAATCCGGTCTAGCTTCAGGGGGCTGAATCTGAAATGTGTCCTTGATTTCATGATCCAGAGACTAAAAACTTGAAGAATATAAAATGCATAACACAGTTTGGTTATTTATAGAAAAACACACTGTATTTGTATCTATACTGCCAAAGAAGTAAATAAGATACAGGCTATATAAAATCCAGACAGTTGAAGACTAATTTCACTTTTGTGTCTAAGTGATGCATGCATATTTTAAAGCTTCTGAAATTTATGCCAGAAAAATCTTGTGCCTATTCTCGAACTCTTCTGTGACTAATCAAAATGAAATTGAACTAAGATTGGAGGTACACATTCAGTTATGCAATTGCTTGCTTCCTGGCCTTGCAAACTTAGCTAAATGTAATTTCTTTTTGGTCAGCCAAACTTACAGTGAAAAGCACTATCACGTTTGTGCTTGGCATGGTCAGTTTGGATAGTTTTTGGTCACTCAGTCACATGCTCTTCTGAAATCTCTGGTCGCATTCTTTGTTTTACCTGATTTTCTTAAAGCATCAAGATTCATGCTGCCTAATTTCAACCAGCCTTCATTTTTCCCCCCTACATAATGTATGACTCAGTCTTCATGCTCTTCGGAATTTCATATTTTTCTAGATCAGACTTGCCTGATGCCATTTCCTTCTTTCGATTTGTTTCTTCTGTGACGAAATTACTGAGAGCAAAGGAGTTGATAAAACTCTTAACGTCCTATTTATTTCAGCTTGTTTACTCAGAGAGGGTAGGCAGGTGAAGAGACTAGGAGAAATAAAGAATGGACAGGATGATCTAACCACTTAAGAAAAAGAGATTTAGAACTTCAAACTAAAATCATACACATCCTAATAAACTTTAAAAGCAAAAATTTACATACATATTTATCATAATTCTGAACCAATTTTGTGATCCATAGAAAATGTAAATTGAAATATTCAGTTAATTCTGCCTTCCATTGAAAGTAAATTGTGTCAACCATTTTCTCATTAAAACGTTTTAGAGCTAAACCAACAACAAAATTACATCTCCAGAAATGTGATTAGATTTCCTAAAAGAACATCAGTCTATTTAGAGAGCAGACTTGGCATTTTTAAGCATGTGTCTACATCAGTGCTTTTCTGCTGTGGGCAGAATGATGTAGTCAAAAGAATATGAGATTCTGGAATTAGAGGAACTGGGCATGACTCCCAGACTGCCCTGGCAGCCATGTGACCTTGGGTAGGTCATTTCATCTGTCCAAGGCTTCTTTTCCTTACCTGTCAAATAAAAAAATAAGTGATAACAGCTTTTCAGGTTTGGTGTATAAATCCCATGAATGACACGAGTGGAAGTGTTTTGTTGATTGTGAAGCATCATATAAAGTACGGTTATTCTATTTCAGATGAACTTGGGTTGGAGTATACTGAAACAAAATAGATGACTCTTAACACCCATGGTAACCTGTGCTTTATTTAATTAACAAATTATCAATATGTCTTGAATTTTTTGAAAAATGTTTGACATTATTCAGTCTAGGAAAAAGCCTTTTTTAAAGGCCACCCCCACCCCTGCAGCTGAATCATATGACTCTCACCTCAAATTTTGCCCTGTGTTAGGACCACTCTACCCTCCTTCCTTCAAAGAAGCCTGTTTAATCTTGATTGCTGTAAGAGGTGATATGGGAAGTAAGTCCCTGAGCATGGAAACCACTAACCTATTGGACACAGTGAGCACAGTGCCAAGGTTCTACTTTGTTTGGAGGGGTCCACAAAAGTGTTTTACCTTCTTTAGAATGGACTTCTAGGTCCAAGTAAGCATTTTAATGTATGTTATTAATATAGTCACTTTGGGGCCAATGTCATAAAATATGTTTAATATTTATCATAACCCTGAGTAACCTGTGATGAATTATTCAAGAACTCAGTTACCTGCAACTCCAGGCATACCAAAGCACTCTTCCAACAGCAGTAGCACTGCCAAGAATTGCAGATGTGGATGATTACTTCTGTCTGGGAAACAGGGAAGGCTTCCTGGAGCTGATATTTCAATCAGTCCTTTGCATAAGGAAGGACATTTCTGAAAGAAAAGCCATGGAGCTGTGGAGGAAACAGTGTTATCGCTTAGCCGTGCTAGTAATCAACAATGGCCTCTTTCCTGTGTATACGTGTGTGGGGCGGGGTGTAGGAAATCGTTTACTAATTATATAATAAAATCTTGCCAATTTTTCTCCATTTTGCATTAAAATGTTTTAGAGTTAAGTTCCTAAATTCCAAAAACACCTACAGAAACACTTCATGAGTAAACAATAGATTGTTCTTAAGCTAATGAGATTAGGTGAAGTTAATTGGGATATGATGTTCTGGTCATAAGAAGGCAAATTATTTTATGTATCAGTTATTATCTGACTGCAAAGACTGACTCTAGCTAATTCAGTCAGCCAAGAAAGAAAAAGAACAAAGACTTGAGGCTGTTCTCATTAACAGATTGGTAGTCTTTTTAAGGTCGGCTAAGCTAGACAATCCCATTTGATCTGAAGGTTCAATTTTGCTGGAAAACCCATCGCACTGATCGCATCATCCCTGGTCCGTATTCAGATTATCCAGCTCCAAATATGCAAGCTGAACCATGTTCCGTGTCTTGTCAAAGACACTGTCCCTTTTTCTAAAATCAAATTCTTCCATTATAGCCAAGGTTTGTGTTCTCTTTCTTCTTACTAATTTTTCTTTACTCTCCGATCATCTCTAAGTGCCTGCACGTAGAACTGATGTTAATTCTCTAAAGAATGCCTTGGGCTGGTTATTTATACCTGTGTCTATGCTAATGACTAGTTATATTGGATTCTGTTCTGATGTTTTAAGGCACCCTTCTGGCGTGCTGTTCTGAATAGTTGTTTGCCTGTGTGCACCAGTCGTTAGATATTTTCCCTGGCATTCTGAGGTGAGAATATTTACCCTATTGCATAGCTTGTTGTTCTATTTTGACACTCTGGAACCTTTATAAAGTAGGACCTGGTTGGTGGAAATAGGACACTATGGATGGACCAAAGAAGGACATACCCACTTCTGATTCTTGTATCAGTTTCTGCTTTCTGGCCAGCCATAGTGTGAACAACTGCTCCAACTCACTTTCCTGCCACCAGGGATGGAGTCACTCCACCTTGCCCTCTCCATTATGGTGAACTGAAATCCCTCAGAAGACATGATCCAAAATAAACCTCCCCTTCCTTAATTGTCTCTACCAGGGATTCCTTCACAAGATGCAAAAGCAACTAATACGGCTGTTTTCCCTGCCATGATGCTGTGCCAAGTCACGGGTCCAAGAGCTAGGAAGCCAGCAGACTCTGGATTGAAACCTCCAAAATTATAAGGAAGAGTATCTACCTCTCCCCTTTAAGTGTTTGTTCTTAAGTACTTGATCAGAGCAGCTGGAATAATGTAAATAATGTAATAATGGTAAACAGAGATGATTCACACCGAGTAGCCTCTCACAAGCATTGCTTTTGTTTTTCTCTTTCAGTTTGTTTGTTGCTTGGCTTGGTTTTTTATCATCTGAGGACTCTTGTTCCAAGGTCTGTTCTACTGTACTTACCTGGTTAGCTGCTGTACATGCTGTCAGACTCACTCTAAGATCAGATTCCATAAGGATAGTTTCCACTAATGGTTCCCAAAGGCTTAATTTGTGATTTCTCTTGGGGATCTGTACTAGTCCTGTCAAAATAGTCATATAGAACAACAATTCCTTCCATTGATTTGGATACCAAAATTTGAGCTGTTGTAATCCTATATTTCTGTCCAGGGTTTATTTATGGTTTACTTCAGAAAACATCTTTTATATTTAAACCTCTCAATGCAAAATGCTGGTGCATGCCAGACACTTTAAATGTATTATTTCATCCATTTTTGTATCAAATTTGAAAATAGAGGCTTATGAAGCACTCAGGAAGTGGGGACTGAAAGATCAGGAGTTCAAGGACAGCCTCTACTATATGAGAACCTGTTTTAAAAAACAAAAACAAGACAAAATAATGAACAATAAACAGATTTATGAGTAAGATAGGTTTTCAAGTAAAGAATGTCACTTAAAGAATTTAAATAAACCATTTATTGTTACCCAAATTCTATATTTTCTAAATAGTAAGGTCCTGTAGGTTATAAAAACAAAACAAAACAAAACAAGATAAAATTAAACCCACAAGATATTATTTACTTCTCAATAGCTTTTCGTGGAGAAGAGTGAACACACTGTATAGATACACAGTAATTCCAAGACTGATCCAGTCAGGCACAAGGAAGCTGAGGCTGAGTGGCAGCCAGGTAAATTCTGGACTGTTTCATTCTAGACCCATCATATACATATTTTACTGTGGGTCCACATTCTTCAGATTCTTTGGCTTTTAGTTACATGGTGTTTGTAAAAGGCTCATGAAATAAATACTATTTTTTTGAAATTGTGAAAATAATCCCACAGAGAGTATGAATACACAAATAAGAACTAAATAAAACCCCAAATGGCCCCAAATCACTAAACAAACTTGTCAGAATATTGGCATTTTGGATGTCAAAGAGGGTGCAGAGTAGAATATGTGTGAGTGTGTCTGCTGCCTTACCTGGCTCACTTCATTTAATATTCTTCACATGCTTAAGCTCCATACAGTATTCATATCCAGAGAGGGTGGTAGAGAACCTGCCTTAGTCCATATACTAATACAAAGCTGAGGTTGTATGAGACACAGAGAGACTAACTCTAGAACCCACAGATGGTGAAGTTGGTAGAAAACTCTACAGTTTCCCAGACCTTAGGGTTGCAGCCATGTTTTACGAGTACTTGAATCAAGTTCCTGTCGAGGAGTGCTTCCTGGCAGAGCGGGTTTCTACATGGGGCAGTCTGGGTTGCTGTGACAATGGGATCCTTCCAGAACCCCACTGCTTTTCCATATCCAAATTTTACCAGCTTTGGTTTTGACAACATTCCATTCTTAGGATCAGAGCCCAACACAGGGATAAAAGTCATTGCATTGAGACAATCTTTTGTCCCTAGACTAAAATCTGTGATCAGGCCCTGTGTTTTGTTTCTGGTTGGTGTCTGGCAGAGCTAAGGACTCAACAAATACTCTCAATATTAATGATCTGTATAAGAAACCAAACAGAAGCAATTTTGCTTTTAAACAAGAGCAACAAAGGGCAGATCTTAAAGATGAGATTCTTTTGTCAGCCCACAGTCAACCCACACAGGCCCTTTGATACGTTAGAAAAAGTGCTCCACCAGGTGAATACATTAGATCCAGCTCAGCCTTGGAATCCATTAGAGTAGACTTTTCAAGCATTCTGTCTCATGCCTATAAACTCATATCTCAGGATGAAGGTAGGATGGTTACAATTTTGAGGCCAGCCTGGGCTACATAGTGAGAGTCTGCCCCTCTCCTTTCTTTGCTCCCCCTCCCCAACAAAAAAAACAAAACAAACAAACAAAAAACCAAAACCAAAACCAAAAACAAGACAAAAAAGAAAGAAAAATAAAAAAAATAGATTTCCAAATTCACCTTCTCTTTGGCCTGGCATACTTAAGTTTTACTGCACAAAATGTCTCACTATATATGTCAGTCTGATTTATATCATGGCCCCCCTTTCATGGTGTGTGTGTGTGTTTCTGTTGTGTACCTGTGTAGGGAGGAATAGTGTCCTTTTGTCTTTCCTAAGAAATCTCCATTTCTGTCTAGCTTATCAAGACAGAAAGTGAGAGCATCTATTGATTTATACCTTATTCACTGTCCCTGTCAGTCTACTTTTTAAGGACAGTGCTTTAGATTGATTGGGTATTATTTTCATCCTTATATTATGATTTATATATAATTTATATTGGATGTTTTCAATGTCTGGAAACAAAACTATCAAACCCTAAAACATTATATAAATTTTCTAATGATTTTCATTTTCTGTGTTTATTGAGCCACTAGAAAAATAATTAGTCAAATCTAGTGTCACATAAGGGTGAATTCTATTTCTTTTCCAGTTATGTGCTAGAGTACATATTTACATGTATACACATACAAAAATACAGAAACACACTAGCATAAACTGCCCTCCTGTGTTATTTAGGAATTTAAGGGTAACCTGATTCAAAGCAAAGGATGTAGGAATCCTGTTGCAATTAATGTCTCTATAGATAATACCAATTAACTGAAAATGATCATGCCAGCAATTGTTTTTAAATTTTTAATTAATTTTTTTACAATTATTTATTTCGTGTGTGTGTGTGTGTGTGTGTGTGTGTGTGTGTGTGTGTGTGTGTATGTCTGTACTCAAGACAAGACACATGTGGAGGTCAGAGGGCAATATGGAGGAGTCAGTTCCCTCTTTCCACCATATGGGTCCCAGAGATTAGACTCAGGTCTTCAGGCACATTGATAAGTGCCTTTACCTGCTCAGCTATCTCACAGGCCCACCAGTAATTATTTTTTCAAGTATGGCAGTAATAGTTTCTCATGAAGGGCTTCTTAAAGTTTACATGTTAACTCTCTGTCTCAGATTACTTAGACACAGAAATATTCTAAAAATGTAGGAATTAAAGAGATATCTCAAGACAGGCTCTCACTATATAGACCAGGTTAGCCTTGAACTCACAGAGATCCATTTGTCTTTGCTTCTTATCAAAGGCATGTGTTACCATGCCCAGGCCAATTAAAACATGCTTGTATTGACTGTAGTTTTGCTAGTACAGTATGCCTTTTAGGAGTGATACTCACGTTTATTTTTAATAAGTACCACAGGCCATTTAAAGATCATTTTTAGT